TAGAGCAAGGCGGAGGTCCGCAGTGTCCTGATCCGCTGGATCCGTGCTGTCCGTCGCCAGCTCAGTGCTTGGTTTCAGCACGACCTCCCGGTCCTGCGAATGCACTCTGACCGAGGTGGTGAGTTTTCCTCCGGCCTCCTCAAGGACTTCTGTGGTGCTGAGGGCATCGGCCAGACGTTCACGCTCCCGGCCTCTCCACGGCAGAATGGGATTGCAGAGCGCCGCATTGGCTTGGTGATGGAGGTTGCTCGCACCTCCATCATCCATGCGGCTGCTCCCCATTTCCTGTGGCCGTTTGCGGTCCAATACGCTGCTGAGCAACTCAACCTCTGGCCCCGTGTCTCCCACCCGGAGACCTCTCCCACTCTGCGGTGGATGGGCGAGGTTGGTGATGCGTCACCGTATTGGGTCTGGGGTGCCCTTTTGCTTGTTCGCGACCCCCCCACGAGGAAGCTCTCTCCCCGCACTCTTCGCTGCGTCTTCCTTGGCTTTCCTACTGACGCCCCGGGCTAGCAGTTTTAACACCCGGGTTCTCGCCATATCCTCTCCTCCCAAGACGTCACTTTTGACGAATTTATCTGCTTCTACCGTCTCCACCCCCACTGCAGTTCCCCCGTGCCCCTCCCGCCTCTCGCACTGATCTTTGACCACCCCCCCCTGGTAGCCCCACCCCCCCTGCATTGTCCTGCTCCCTCATGTTTGTCTCAGGTTGACCTGTTCCCCTTGGTTGAGCCAGTCAAGGTCTCCTCTGACACCTCTGGCCCAGCTGAGGGGGGTGACCCGACTCCTGCTGTCACCGTGACCCCTCGCCGCTCCTTGTGCTTGGCGGTCCCTCCTGGGCCTCGACCTTCTTCACCGTCATTGCAGCCTGTCGTTGTGGACTCTTGTGCTGCAAGTGGTGGTGCCACTGGGGGTGCGGAATCTGGGGGTGCTGGTTCTGGGGGTGCTGAGTGTCCTCTGGGTACACAAGGTACTGGAGGTGCTAGTGCTGGTGGTCCTGGTACGAGTCGGCAGGAGGCACTCTCGCTGGAGAGGCTTCGCGAGTGGGCTGTCCAGTGTGGCAGCCCTGGTGGTGGAGCTAGCCGTCTCCGAGTGAGAGGTACTAGGATTGCTGGAGCTGGAGGTGCTGGGACTGCTGGAGCCAGAGGTTCTGCTACTGGTGGTACTGGGGTTGCTAGTGCTGGTGGCATTGGTGCACGTCGGCAGGAGACTCTCTCGCCGGAGCGGCTTCGCGAGTGGGCTGTACAGTGGGGCAGACTTGGTTGTGGAGCTAGCTGTGCTCGTACAGCTAGAGCTGGAGGTGCTGGGACTACTGGTGCTACTGGAGGTATTGGAGGTGCTGCTGCTGTGGGTGCTGATGCGGGCAGTCGTGGTGGTGGCGCTGGATGTGCTGGAGCTGCAGGTTCTGGAGGTGCTGGCTCTGGAGGTGCTAGTGCTGGTGTTCCTGGAGTTGGCCATGTTGGAGGTACTGGTACAGGAGGCACAGGTGCTGCTGGAGGTATTGGAGGTGCTGGCCCTATAGGTGCTAGTGACGTTGTTCTGCGAGTTGGGGGTATTGGCGGTGCTGACACTGGAGGTGCTACTAGAGGTACTGGAGTTGGTGGTGCTAGTCGACAAGAGTCGCTCTCGCCGCAGCAGTTTCGCGAGTGGGCTATCCGTTGGGGCAGTCCCGGTGGTGGAGCTGGGGGTACTGGTTCTGGGGGTGCTGTTGCTACTGGAGCTGGGGGTTCTCGGGGTGCGACTACTCACCCGCAGCAGTCTGTGCTTCTTCACCTTCTCAGTCTCCCGCCTGCTGCTACTGAGTCTCGGTTGCTGGTTATAAACCTCCATTACTGTTCCCACCGTCTGTCCAGCCTCAGCCACAGCTATTGCCTGGCTCCCCACTACCTGCTCCTGCTCCTCACACTACGGTGACAAAGTCCTTCACTGAGCGTAGAGAGCCTGCGTCGCGTCCTGTCACGCCTGTCCGTTCTCGCCGTGCTGTGCGTCCTCGTCCTCCACCTGTCCCTGGCACACACATCATGGCACTTCGTCCTTCCTCTGTTGCTGTTCCCACCGACTGACCAGACTCAGCCACAGCTACTGCCTGGCTCCCCACTGCCTGCCCCTGCTCCTCACACGGAGGTGACTGAGTCCCTGACTGAGTGTCGTGAGCCTGAGACTCGTGCTTCCACACCTGTTCGCGATCGTCGTGTTGTCCGTCCTTGTGCTCCAACCGTGCCAGGCATTCACCATATGGCACTTCGTCCTTCCTCTATTCCACAGCGTGTTGTCCTGCCGTCTCCTCTTGCATCTTCTTTTCCTCACGTTCCTGACCCTGAGTCAAACCTTTACCGTACTGCCAGTTTGACTGTCACTCGTCTCCTTGCCACAGTTGTGATTGACCCTTCCTTTGAGTCTGCTGATGCGTCTACCTTAGTTGCTGAGCTTGTTGACTTTGCTGCTTTATGCCACCTGCGAGTCTTGTTTTTAACTCTTCCTGTCCTCCGTCCCTCGGGGGTGAGCTTGCCCTTGGCTGTGACGTTCTTGAGGACAGGCAGTTTGTGCTGGAGTGCCTAGCGGCCGCTGCACCTCATATCGCGTCCACGCTACTTTCCCTTGAGGGAGACCCGGATGCACTGGACATCCCGACCCCGCGCACTTACGCAGAGGCGATCACGAGTCCGTACTCCTCTCAGTGGCGGATAGGCATGGATGCAGAGATGGCTTCCTGGAAGTCCACAGGCACCTATGTCAATGAGGTTCACCCACCTGGGGCAAACATAGTTGATGGCATGTGGATTTTCAAGGTGAAGCGGCCGCCGGGTTCTCCGCCTGCCTTCCAGGCGTGTTTCGTTGATAGAGGCTTCAGTCAGCGTGAGGGGGTCGACTTCTTCCAGACCTTCTCCCCCACCCCGAAGATTACCACTTTTCGGGTGCCACTGCACATTGCAGCACAGCACGACTACGAGCTGCACTCCCTCGACTTCTCGACAGCCTTCCAGCAAGGCAGCCTTCACGAGGCTATCTGGTTGCGCCGCCCACCTGGCTTCACTGGGTCGTTTCCTGAGGGTACCCAGTGGAGTCTTCGGCGACCTTATACTGCCTACGACAGGCACCCCGCGAGTGGCACGACATACTGAGGGCTACACTTGGGGCTCTTGGCTTCGCTCCCTCGACTGCTGACCCTTCGCTGTTTCTGCGCACAATCACTTCTCTGCCACTGTTCTACGTTCTTGTGTACGTTGACGACTTGGTTTTTGCTACTGCTGGCACTGAGGCTCTGGCCTTAGTGAAGGCGGAGCTGCAGGAGAGACACACCTGCACTGACCTGGGTGAGCTGCGGAGCTATCTTGGCTTGCAGCTCACCCGGGACAGAGCACGTCGCACCATTACCCTCACTCAGTCACACATGGTGCAGCAGGTCCTTCAGCGCTTTGACTTCTCGTGGTCCTCTCCACAGCCCACTCCTCTGTCTACCAGCCACTCGCACTCAGCTCCACCTTCGGACGAGTCAGTAGAGCCGAGTGGTCCGTACCCACAGCTTGTGTGTTGCCTCATGTACCTGATGGCGTGCACACGACCTGACCTCGCATACCCTCTCAGCCTCCTTGCTCGCTACGTGGCTCCCGGTAGACACCGAAAGGTGCACTGGGAAGCTGCGAAGAGGGTATTGCGTTACTTGTGCAGTACATCGGGCATGTGGCTCGTGCTTGAAGGACCCGGTCCAGTTGTTCTCACCGGTCACTCAGACGCTTCTTGGGCTGACGACCAGACGACTCACCGGTCTACACAGGGGTCCAGTTTCAGCCTCGGCATTGGTTCTGTCTTGTGGAGGTCCACTCGCTCGTCTTCTGTACTTAGTTCCAACTGTGAGGCCGAGATCTACGTTGGGGCTATGGGTGCACAGGAGCTCCGCTGGCTGACCTACCTGCTGACCGGCTTGGGTGAGCGACCTTGTTCTCCTCCAGTTATGTACGTCGACAACAAGGCCATGATTGCCTTGTGTCAGTACCAGAGACTGGAGCACAAAACGAAGCACGCGAGAGCTGCAGCAGCGTGGTCAGCTTCGTCTTGCTTACGTGGCCACACGGGCGAACACTGCTGATGTCTTCACCAAATCCCTTGGGTCTAGTGATCATCAGCGCTTTTGCACTGCTCTTGGGCTTGTGCCCACTCTGCCTCACTTGCTTGTATCTTGATCTTGCCTTGCCCTTGTTGTACACTGATATATATGAGTATACTTGCATGCTTACACTTGCTAAGTTGTGGTCAGTGTACTGCTCTTGCTATTATAAACTTTGCATGTGAACTGGCCTTATGGCCACTTGCTTGTCCTCGAAATGCGTGGTGATCTTGAGATCCACCCTGAGCTTTGCTTTTTCTCTTGACTGGTCTTGTGATCATTGCTTGCTCTGGGTATCCCCCACTTCGCCTATGGGGGTGTGTCAAACATTATACGTTAATCTTGTATGAGGCTGTAGAGGGTTTAGCCTTAGAAGTTCACAATATCTCTCAACATTGTACTTGTACCTCCCCTTTGACCTAATGCCATCATCCCTTAGTATTCTAACAATAAAAGCCTATTTGCTGGAGCTGGTGCAACGGGCTGAAGGATAGAGAGTGGTTGGCGGGGCGGAATATGAACAGTGGCTAGTGGGATCGGCTCGGCATACAGCTGGTGTGCACACACAGGGGATGAAGGGCTGTGTTATGGTAGGGAGCACGGCCCAGCCTGAGGGTGGATTGCATGTCAAGCACAATGGAGCAAGGGAGGCACGAGAGGGGAGTCATTATATTGTGACGCGATGACAGGGGGCATCCGAGGCAAAGCGAGAGTGAAGAGAATAAGGCACTACATGTGAGATACGACAGACGAACCTGCTGGTACAGCAGCGCAGTAGCAAGGTTTCTGTGCATTGAACTACACATGCAATGGATGGAATGAGATAGGATGAATGCAGCCCACGCCACAGGCGAACCAGTAGGTACAAGTACCAGTCTAATCGTGCGGGCCTTGCCTGAGTGATGAGGAAGAGCGTGCAGGCAGGGTGTGTGGGCGTCATGTCTGGTGCAGCATGCTCTCTGTGGGCGCACACAGTCACTCTGCTCCCCTGGCGGGCATGCGCGGGCAGGTGTGCATGTGCTGCTTGCGATGGGCACATCCAGCACGCAGAGAAGAGCTGTGGTGGCGCATGTTGCGCTGTGAAGAGAGAGATGGGAGAGTTTGGGGGTGTTAGGAAGCAAGTGGAGGTGCACATGGGACGATTGACAAGACTGTGGCTTGTGAGATGCGGTGCAGGGCAGAGCTGCAGATATAGCAGAGGGTGATCAGGCAGCGAAGCGTGAGCGATGCAGGGGGCAACACATAGGTAGGGTTGTGAGAGGAGTGAGATTGCATGCACTTCAAGTTCACCTGGCAGGGCCTGCATTACAGCAGTGCTGAGCCTGCATTACAGCAGTGCTGAGCCTGCATTACAGCAGTGCTGAGCCTGCATTACAGCAGCGCTGAGCCAAGCGTGCAGGTGCAAAGCTCGTGAAGAGGAGGATTGTGATGAGGGAAGGTAGCAGGCGCATGCAGGCGGTAAAGAAAGGCGAGGAAAGAAGGTGATGCAGCACGGTGGGAGCGACTCACTGGGAGCACACTGGGACTGCGAAGGTTGGAGAGGGTCAGAGGGCGAAAATGGGCCCGCAAGGGAGAGGCGGTGTGAGACAATGGCCTGCAGAGAGAGGATGGACAGTGAGGAGGTGGAAGAGAGGATGTTGAGAGTGGCTCAGTGACAGCGCGTCTACATGTCCAACACTGGGCGTGCCCCACACATTGCCGTGAGCTGCACACCTTAAAGGGCGTGTATCCCGGCAAGTGACATGAGTGTGGTGGCAAGCAGTGCGAGTTGGAAATGCTGGCATGGAAGAGGGAGATTGTGGTGCCGCGTGGGTGCTGCGCATGCAGCAAGGAGGTGTTGACGGGCTCCATCCCTACCCCTTACAGGCACGGAAAGTGGAGCAGTTACACCAATCAGGCTGCATAAGGCTCATGGTGCTGCTCGTTGCGACATAAGGCTCGTGGTGCTGCTCGTTGCAACATAAGGCTCGTGGTGCTGCTCGTTGCAACATAAGCGGCCATCTGAGAGTTCCCACGCGAATAAGAGATTCTCTGCAACGCTCAACTCTTGCACGCCCACATCACACAAAGTGCTCCCTCCGGTTGCTTGCTGAATGAGCCAGCATGTGAGTAAGTGGGTGCTGGCAGGGCGAGAGCATGAACAGTGGCAGCCTTGTCACATGGCACACAGTGCGCAGCACTCACTGCCCTTTCCACCCCACGCGCACCTGCCATGCAGCAGGCATGTACTCGCGTGGGGGCACATGCACTGGCACCACGGGGGCAGCAGCCTCGCCTGGCACATTGGATGGGTCACGTGCTGCAGTAGCAGTGGCAGCAGCAGCAGCAGCAGCAGCAGGGGGCAGGGAGCGAGCACCAAAGATGGCGGTGCGGGCGGCAACCACGGCCACCCCGTGCGACTGCGACAGCTGCTGCAGCTCCCGTGCTGCCACCTCTGCTGCTGTCACCCACGTCAGCAGCTTGCCTCCGTGGTCGCTGGTGAGAGGAGGGAGCACAGGAGGAGACCACAATGAGACAGCAGCGCGGAGGAGATTGAGAGTCGGTTTGAGAGTGAGAGTCGGACGTGAGCAATGGGTGCCTTGTGGGGCTGTGTGAGACTGCAGGCGGCGAACGGGATGCGCAAGCATGAGGAGAGGGGGGTGCATGCGCGCAATGGCATTGGTGGCGTATGGGCTATCCAAGGGGTTGAATGCGCAGGTGGATGGAATGGAAGTGATGCAGTGGCATGGCATGCAGACCTTGGCGCATGGGCAGGAGGAACAGCCCGGTCCAACCAGTAGAAGGCTCCTATGCTGGTATGGTCATGCAGGACGGGGAGGAGGGACGAGGAGCCAGGGAGGAAACTGAGTGTGAGTTCAATTGAGTAATGGTGACTAGAATGAGCTGCGAGCCTCACAAATGAGTTCCTTACCACTAACCTACAGCAAGGCGAAGAAGAGTGACAAGAGGCTAACATAGTAGTACTGCATGGAGTGCATAATGGTTGAAGGAAAAGGTCGTGTTGGTGGCATGCATGGAGAGGCACACACGAATCAATGAGCAGCAGAGGTGGGCAGTGGGTGAGATGACACGACATGCTCTGCTGCCCTGCACTGGCCGCAGGGCTAAACCAACTCCACTGCGCCACCTCGGCACCCCCATGCTGCATTGCCACCTCCCCTGCACCCCCTCTCTGCTCGCCCTGCAAGCCACACGCCTCGCCAGCCCCCACACTCTCCATTCTCTCCGCCTGCTCCCCCGCATGGCCATCGGTCGCCCCTGCCCCCACGCCTGCATTGACCCCTGCACTGCTGTTGCCCACGCCAGGGCGGTGCTCGTGCTGCTGCGCCCGCCACACGGGCAGCAAGGACGACACGGACTGCAGGCAGGGCACGCAGGGGGGAGCGCGGCAGAGCAAGGATGTCGATGTGCATGAGTAGTATGTTGGGGATACAGAAAGCGTGAGCAGGACGAAAGGAGAGAGGAGAGTGGAAGCACACAGTGGGTATGCAGACAAGTCAGGAAGTGCACGAAGGCATGGGAAGAAGGGGGGGAATGGCAAAACGAGGGGGGGGGGGGGGGGGGGGGTATGATATGACATGGCAAGGCATGGTGTGGTGTGGTATGGTATGGTGTGGCGTGGCGTGGCGTGGCGTGGAGTGGTGTGGCGTGGTATGGTGTGGTGTGGTGTGTTGTGGTGTGGTGTGGTGTGGCGTGGTGTGGTGTAGAGTGCACCTTGAGGCATGCGAGCCAGTGGCATGTGTTGCGGCATGGCAGGAGATGGAAGCGACGCAGCGCTGCTTGCACCAAGCCCTCCACACGCTGCTGCTGCTGCTGCTGCTGCTGCTCACATGCTTGTAGTGGCGAGCCCTCATGAGCATCAAGCACGCACTGAAGAGCAGAGCACAGGGAAAACGGACGGATGAACACACATGGGCGGCACACGGGGGGATAGCAATGGGGGGAAGAGGTGGAGTGAGAGGGAGACGAGAGGAGAGCGTCCACGAACAAACAACATCCTGCTGCCTTCCATGCATTGCCTCACACCACCTGTGCGCCCCCCACCCACCTGTGCATGCGCCCCCACGCACCTGCATGGCTCGGGCGTGCAGCACGTGCATGAAGCGTGGCATGGGGAAGCGCACGTCCAGGTCCATGTACGCCACCACCGCTCCCCCTCCCCCCGCTGCCTCCCACCCACTGCTGCCGCCACCACCACGACCAGCAGCGGCAGGTGGGTGGGCGGGGCGTGGGGGCAGAGGCAGGAGATGCGCCGCCGCCAGCTGATGGAGAGCAGGCGGGGGACGGTGCCATGGTGAGACACGCATGAGGCAAGGGCCAAGAAGGCCTAAATAGGTTCAACCTTCCTAACTTCGGTTGAGTTTGGCCCTGACACCCAAAATCTTGGCCAATTGCATTGCTCGCCCCAACCAACCTTTCTAAGGTTGAACTTCTTGGCCCGCGGGTTTTAAGTGTTTCACATGAGCGTTCTTGGATTGGCATACCCAAGTGACGGTACAGCAAGTATTGTTGCGCGCACATCTGATCTGCCTCGTTGCTCCCTTGCATCTGCTCGGCCCTCCCCTCTCCCCTCTTCTCTACCGATACGCTTGCCTCCCTGTCATCACATCTGCTCGCCCTCACCCGCATAAGCACTTCCGTCTTGCCGCTACCACTGCCGCCCACCACCTCCGTCACTCCCCCGCTGCCCCCCTCCGCCACGCCCCGGTGCTCGTCCACCACGCTGAACCCCGTCCGCGCCCCCCCCCGCGCCTCTCCGCGCGCCCGCACCCGCGCCAACAGCGCCGCCGCCGTCTCACTGCTGGCGAGCTGCCGGCGCAGGGCGCACATATCCGCGGGGGAAGGCTCGGGCAGAGCGCAGGGTGCCGCGAGCGCAGCTGCCATGACGGCCCTCCGACCGGCGCAGCGCAACACGTCGACTCGGCCCTCGAGAGTGCTGCTGGGGCGCTGTGGCCGAGCGCCTCACGCGTGCTCTCCCGCTCAAAACGTACCGCCTTCGTGAACGTGTATCATCTATGCTAGTGCGAAATAATTCGAACTTCAAAGTCTCAAGATGGAATGCTGAACTCGAAAAGTGCGCTGCGAAAAACGTCCTGAGGGGATCAGGGCTCGCCGCACAACTCACAGACTCTGGCGCGACTCGCGACTTTCGACTAGCTAGCTTACCTCGCTTTGATATGCCTAGGCCTTTATTTTATGTCGAGTTCATTCTGTCATAGCTGGGGTAACTCGAAAAAGGGTTTTCAGCTTTGCAAGGACTGTTACTGTAGCTTGTCCTCTTTTGAAGGACCTTCATCGCTTTCTGCGCACACTTTCCGCTGATTCTCTTCTCAGGCGGGAGCATTATCGTTCAAACTAGGGACTCGGCTTCTCCGCAACTCACGCAAGTACTGTTTTCATTGTCCACAATTTCGGGAGGGATCAACCCTAAACATGGGAAAGGGCATTGTTTTTAGGGTTGATGCCTCCCCAACTAGTATCCCTTTCAGATTGGGTTTTAGATTTTTTTTGTCAGGTTTAGTGATATATATATTCCAAAAGTTACATGTAATTCCGGCTTGGGCGGAATCGTTTTAAGAGCATCAACCCTAAACACTATGCGACAAGGTATTTAGGGTTGATGCCATTCCCTAGAGGGTATATTTTATTACCTGGGCAGAAACAATTGTGAAGAAAGAAACAGGAATGAATGAACTAGGAAAGTGTGAGATACAAATATGAAAGCTGTACCCCTTAGTGTCTACCCCACTACAGCCTACATAGGCTAAGGCATATACATCTGACACACCCCCATAGGCAAAGTGGGGGAGAACTAGGGGTCATAAGACCAGTCAAGCAAAGCAAAGCAAAGCAAGCTCAGGGTGGATCACAACGTCACCACACAGTCTGAGCACAGGTTCAAAGGCCACAAGGCCAGTTCACATGCAAGTTCATATATAAAGGTAAACAAGCAAGTGCAGGTATATATAGATCACAGAACAAGCAAAGTCAAGAGGTAAGCAAGTGAGGCCAAGTAGGCACAAGACCTAGCATAGTACAGAAGCGCTGATGATCACAAGGCTGAAGTGCCTTGGTAAAGATATCAGCAGTGTTGGCCTGAGAGGCCACGTAAGCAAGGCGCAGCTGGCCACGCTGCTGCAGCTCACGAGCAAGGAAGTAGCGAAGAGCAATGTGCTTCGTTCTGTGCTCCAGTCTGTGCTTCCGACACAAGGCCAGCATGGCCTTGTTGTCTACGTACAGAACTGGAGGAGAACGAGGCGGCTCTCCCAGGTCAGTCAGCAAGTAGGTGAGCCAGCGTAACTCCTGTGCAGCCATGGCCCCTGCTTAGATCTCAGCCTCACAGCTGGAGCTGAGAACAGAAGACAAGCGGGTAGACCGCCACGAAACAGAGCCGGAACCAAGGCTGAAGGTGTAACCCTGTGACGACCGCTGTGTAGCCAGGTCGTCCACCCAAGACGCGTCTGCGTGACCAGTGAGGACCACTGGACTCCGCCCTCCAAGCACTAGCCCCAAGCCCGAAGTACTGCACAAGTAGCGCAACACCCTCTTCGCTGCCGCCATGTGCTCTGGTCGGTGTCTCCCAGGAGCAACATAGCGCGCCAGAATGCTCAGAGGGTATGCTAGGTCAGGTCGAGTGCAGGTCATCAGGTATATGAGGCAGCCAACAAGCTCTGGGTACGGGCCACTCGGCTCTACGGACTCATCCGAAGGCAGAGCTGAGAGCGAGTGGCGAGTAGACAGAGGAGTGGCCTGAGGCGAGGAGTACGTGAAGTCGAAGCGCTGAAGGACCTGCTGCACCATGTGTGACTGAGTCAGGGTGATGGTGCGCCGTGCTCTGTCCCGGGTGATCTGCAAGCCAAGATAGCTGCGCAGTTCACCCAGGTCTGTGCACGTGTGTCTCTTCTGCAGCTCGGACTTCACGTGGGCGAGTCCAGCAGTGTCAGCTGTAGCAAACACCAAGTCGTCGACGTACACGAGGATGTAGAACGGCGGCAGTAAGGTGTCGGTGCGAAGAAACAGCGACGGGTCAGCAGTGGAAGGAGCAAACCCAAGAGCCGCAAGCGTAGTCCTCAGTGTGTCGTGCCACTCACGTGGCGCCTGGCGGAGACCGTAGACTGGCCGCCGGAGGCTCCACTGGGTACCAGGAGGAAACGACCCAGTGAAGCCAGGTGGGCGGCGCAGCCAGATCTCCTCGTGCAGACTGCCCTGTAGGAAAGCAGTGCTGAAGTCAAGGGAGTGAAGCTCGTAGTCACGCTGAGCAGCAACGTGCAGCAGAACCCGAAGAGTGGTCATCTTCGGGGTCGGGGAGAAGGTCTGAAAGTAGTCAACTCCCTGCCGCTGACTGAAGCCTCGAGCCACGTAACGCGCCTTGAAGACAGGCGGAGAACCCGGCGGCTGCTTCACCCTGAAGATCCACATGCCACTGACGATGTTCGCCCCAGGTGGGGGAACCTCGTCGACGTAGGTGCCTGTGGACTTCCAGGAAGCCATCTCTGCGTCCATGGCTGCCTGCCACTGAGAGGAGTAAGGACCCTTTATCGCCTCTGCGTAAGAGCGCGGGGTCGGGATGTCTGGTGCATCCGGGTCTCCCTCAGGGGCAAGCAGTGTGGACACGAGATGAGGTAAAGCAGCAGCAAAACACTGGAACTCCTCCTGTCGGTCCTCAAGAACGTCCGTGCTAAGAGCACACTCACCCCCGACGGACGGAGGACAGACAGACGCAGACGCTGACTCAGCAACAAGACTAGCGGCGTAGTGTAGACGACAGTGAGCAGCGAAGTCGACAAGCTCGGCAACTAAGGCAGACGCAGCAGTGGACTCAAAGGAAGGGCCAGTGACAACAGTGGCTAGGAAACGCGTGACAGTAGGACTGGCAGCACGAAGGGAGTCAGACGCCGGGTCAGCAAGAGCAGGAAGAGAGGACTCTGGAGGAGACGGCAAAGGGACACGCTGTGGCGCAGTGGAAGGACGCAGTGTCATCTGATGCGTACCCGGGACTGCATGAAGACGCAGACGTGGAACACGACGACTAGTGCGAGCAGTGCGAACAGGCGACGCAGGACGCGACTCAGGGGCACGACGCTCTGCAAGACCTCCAGTAGGACCAGAGTAGGGAGAAGGAGCAGGCAGAGGGGAGACCAGCTGTAACTGTGACTCGGACTGGACAGTCGGAGGACACTCTAAGGAAGGAGCAGGACTAGGAGAAGGCGGAAGACCAAGAACCTGCTCAAGGAGCGGAACGAAGTACGGCCGCGGCCGCGCAGCACCTCCAGAACCAGCAGGGACAACACCAGTATCCCCAGCGTCAGCTCCAACTCCAGCAGCACCACCTCCAGCAGGACCACCAGCAGACACAGCCGCTCCGGCTCCAGGACCTCCAGTAGCACCCACTCCAGCAACACCACCAGCTCCAGCTCCACCAGTAGCTCCAGCACCAGGAGCACCACCAGGCCCAGCAGCTCCAGTACCTCCAGTACGAGCACCTCCGGGACCCGTTGCTCCAGCACCCCCAGCAGAAGCAGAACCTCCAGTACCGGCTCCAGCAGCACCTCCAGCTCCAGAACCTCCAGCAGCAGCAGAACCTCCAGCTCCAGCAGCACGGCTCCAGCGGCGAGCAAACCACTCGCGCAGCTCCTGTGGAGAGGGAAGCTCCCGCCGGTACAAAGCACCCGAAGGACCGCCAGGTCCAGCACCGACAGGCTCCACACCCCCACTTCCAGCAGCCCCAGGCTCAGTACCCCCAGAAGCAGCACCCCCAGGCCCCGCACGCTCAGGCTCAGCACCCCCAGACCCAGCACCCCCAGGCTCCGCAAGCTCAGGCTCAGCACCCCAAGACCCAGCACCCCCAGGCTCCGCACGCTCAGGCTCAGCACCCCCAGACCCAGCACCCCCAGGCTCCGCACGCTCAGGCTCAGCACCCCCAGACGCACCAGAGTCAGCAGCTACCTCGACAGGCTCGACTGCATCTACCTGAGACACACCTGAGGGGGCAGGACCCTGAGGGGGGAGGGGGTCTACCGGGGGGGGACCGGGAGCGAGGAAGAGCGGCGGAGGGGGGAGGTGGGCAGTGCGGTAGGGGAAGAGACGGTAGTACAGAACCGACTCGTCAAACGTGACGTCCTGGGAGGACAGAACACAACGCGAGGTGGGGTGGTAAAACTGCCAACCAGGCGCGTCAGGGGGAAAGCCGAGGAAGACGCAAGGAACAGCACGGGAGGACAGCTTGTCCGCAGACAAGTCTCGGACGAAAGCTCGAGATCCCCAGACACGGAACGCAGACGCATCACCAACCTTCCCCGTCCACCGCAGAGTAGGGGAGGTCTCCGGCAGGGAGACCCGGGGTGTCAGAACTAGCAGTAGAAAGTAAGAATGAAGAAAGGAGGAGGTTCACTAGCAAGCAGTTGAGTACATATAGAAAACCCTAGATTGGGCTGTACTCGCTATAGAGTACCCCACTGCAGGCTAGACAAATACAACATTCTGACACACCCCCATAGCCAAAGTGGGGTGTAATCAGCACAATGAGCAGGTATAGCAGGAGTTCACAATAAGAAGCAAAGCTAGAGGTAATCACAGCGGGCAAGTGAGGAGGAGGGACTATGAGAGGAGAGAAGATGAGAGACGGCGGCTGAAGCTGCAGACACACGGGCAACAGGAGCTGCTGGCACAGTGGCTACCGAGACAGTGCGCCCCGGACTACTGGAGTAACTGGCTCACGGGCTACGACGAGCTACAGGAGCAACGGACCCTCGGGCGACAGGCGCAGCAGACTCTCTGGGCTACCAGGACAGTGCGCCCCGGACTACCGGTGCTGCGGACGACAAGACAGCAGCCTCCGCTCAACCTCCTCCAACTGTCCCACACACTCCCCACACACCCACTGC